GCATCGCATGTCGTGTGTATCCAAAGATGGTTCCCAACCCAACTCTCCTCTGTTGATGGGCTCTTGCTTGGTTGTGCCCTGACCATCGACATTGACACGCACACATACACACACACACACACACACACACACACCCCATACACACCATACAACTTTCCGTCCAAAACTAAAAGTCCGAAAAAAGACGCCAGCTCGCGAAAGAAAAAGGGTTCCTGAGACGAACGCCCACGAGCATCACATCTTCTTTTCCCCCTTCCCCTCTGATCCTCCAAGCCAGCCCCATGTTCGGAAAAAGAAGTTCCCTCCCCTCAACTATACAGAAAACTGTGACACCTGAACCAGGGGCAAGCACGCTCTCAACGTTTATGCTCTTCGTAGAACCTTATTCAGGAAACCGCCCCGGCCCCTTTTGGGCGTTTCATCCCCGGACGGACCAACGACGACGTGGGCATCCCTCGTCGTCCCGTCTTTTCCTCCGACGAGGCCGCCGCGGTGCTGGTGCTGGTGCTGGTTCTGGTGATGATGGTACTGCTGTTGATGGCCGCCCGGGTTCGGGGGAGTACCAAGACCAGCAGGGAGATCGCCCGCGTACTGCGCATCTCCCCTGCTGATCTTCACATAAGAATCATCTGAAGAACCCAGCGGCGTGGCGACGGCGACGGCGGCCCCTGAGTCAAAGTGGGCATGACAGCCCTCCGCGGCAAGTTTCGACATCCCACCAATCGCGGTGTTGGTGGTGTTTGTCAACGACAGCGACGACGATGACGGCGAAGAGGTCGGGACCATGTCGATGGGTCGCCAGCTGTCACTCGCGGCGGACGTGACAGGTTTCCCTTGCCGGATGTGGGAGAGACCTCTGTCGAGATACTCGACCAGCGGCGCTTTTGTGTCGAATTCAAAGGTTGTGGTATTGTTCCTGTCCTCCTCGTCGGTATTGTTGTTGCCACCTCCACCTCGTCGCAAGGCAGAGCCGCCGTCCCATCTTGTCGCTTTTCCTGTCGCTGCTTCCTCTGATGATCTGGCTGCTGCTAGTGCTGCTGCTGTACCCGTCACTGTTTCTGCTATTCCTGTCCCACCGCCACCGCCATTGCCAGTGTCATCAGAAGCAGCGCCAGGGGCGGGCGCAGAGGCGGAAGTGTCGCGCGGCGTCTCGGCAGCCCGGCCCCCGCGAGTAGCGCTGCTGTCATGGACTTCCAGGGCTTTGCGGTAGAGGTCCGGGACGCGACGCCGGAACTCGGCTTCGAGGTCTCGTTCATGCTGGCTCGTCATGGCTCGCGCGCCGCGGCCCGAGCTAGCAGCCGGCGGGTCGTAGTCGTTGTAGTTGGGATCGAGCCTCGACGACGAGGTGTAGTAGCTACTGCTGCTGCTGTTGTTGTTGTTGCTGCTGCTGCTGCTGTTGGCCACTATCCCCTCGTCGTCGATTTGAGTCAGCAATTCCTGGTACTGCGCTCTCCTCGCCGCCGCGTCATCAGTCTCTAACGGTGCGGCCGCCGATGCCTCTTGGCGGAGGGGATCCGGGTTTTGCTGCTGCTGTTGCTGCTGCTGCTGATGCCATGCCTCGCCCGATACTTTGGATCCGGTGATGGAAGTCTTGTATGAGACGCTGAACTCCTTGTAATGGCCTTTGAGGACGAAACACCGGCCTGGCCAGCCCCAGGTCCTGAACTTGTTGTAGAGGACGTCGGCTACGGGACAGTCCCGCGAGGCGTCTATGACGCGGTCATAGATGACCAGGCAAGTGGCGGACTGCCACTCGCCAAATACCTGTCTGCTGCCGTGGTCTGGGAAAGCTCGTTCGATCATGTCGAACGAGGCTTCTTGGATAAAGTTTAAGGGTGCGCGGAGGTTGATTGCCCCCTTAATGTGAGATTTCTCAAAGTCTGCTGGAGGACGGAGATCAATCATAAGAATCCTGCTAGAAGATAGGACCTCGATGATTCTCTGAAGGTGATGTGGCAATATCATCTGGGCTCCTTGGGATGCTCCCGGGGCTAGGTCGCCGCCCATTCTCAGGGCTTGAAATTGCTGCGAGACGACATCTCGTTCCCGCCGGTGATGGAACCAGGCCTGCTACAGTTATTATGGCATTCTCAATGAGGGTGAGAGTGAATGATAAAGCCTACCTCTACGTGCCACAGCTCTATGCCTAAATTTGAGGCAACAAAGTTCTTTTGATCATCGTTTGGCGACGGCTCTTGCCGGTAATATTGTTGGAGTAAGATCTCGACATGCTGTGAGAACTTGGGCGGTTCCGGGACATCGTGTAATATGGTCCTCCGCGCGCTTCTCTGCTGGTTCGGAATCATGGATCTAGATATCGGTATCGCCTCCGATGATACTTGAGAGGATGAGGTGTGGTGCCGCTGTAAGGTTCCAGTGGAAGCTCTTGGGTTTGGCGACTCAAGTGGCCGCGATGATCTGACGACTGGTGATGATGATGGTGATTCAGTCTCTGACTCCTGGATGTTGACCCGTCCACCTTCGTTTATCCTCACGTTTGGTCCGCTGCCTCCCACTTGCGTCCCCATGACGCTGCCTGTTATTGTTGGAGCATTCGTGTATGTGACTTCCGAAAAAAATGTGCCCATCGAGGCGGAGTCCGGTTGTGTGCCGTCTTGCACTACACGAGCGCCTCGGATCACCGGAACATCCCCCCTAGCCTCCTCGTCCTTGTGACTCCTCTCTGCCACTAGGTTATTGGAACGAATGAAGGCTATGAATGAGGTTGCATGGTCCTCTGGCAGAAGATCCCACACCATGACTGGCATAGATAAGAGGAGCAATGTGGAATGACTCTTGAACACCCCCTGAACTTTGACGTACTTTGCTAGGGCTGGGAAGTTGGATAACCACTGCTCCCAGGCGCCGAGGTCTAGTTGCTGGTTGTCTTCCAGTGCCAGCGAGATCATGACATGCGGCGTATCTTCGTTCGGCTCCCCTGCCATTGGCACGCCAGGCCCTCGCCCACCCGTCACCTCCTCGGGCGATCCGCTACCATCTGCAGTCAGTACGGCATTCAGCAGCGGCGACGGCGGCCGCTGCTCAGCCGGCACGACCCGGGACAACTCGATGCTCGGCGCCTTGTGGTTCGACGTCATCATGAAGTGAACCGGCGTCGACCTGGCCTCAAAGACCTTGCCGTTGATGGTGACGGGGCGCGGGTGCTTCAGGCGGGCGAGGACCTCGGCGTGCACCATGGCCGCGGAAAAGGTGCGGAGCCTCCACTCCTGCATCACCTCGATGAGGGCGTTTGTGAAGGAGTAGCGGCCCGGGTCCGGGGCGATGGCGTCCCAGCTAGAGGCGGAGATGGTCTCAGTGATGCTGTTACCGTTGGGGAATGTTGCGCTCGCCGCTCCCGCGCAGCAGTCGAGGAGGATGAGCACATCGGAGGCCGAACGCTCTAGCAGGGTCTGGATTGCGGACCACTGCAGCCATGGTGAGTCGGGATGCCGAGTACTAGTGGTTTTGTGAGAATGTGCTTGATGGAGATGAGACAAAGCTGTGTACTTACGCGCACCAAGTACTCTGACGAGACTCATCTATTCTGGCATGGCCGCCATAGTAGACCAAAAAGAGCGTGTCTTGAGCCTCGTGGTCTTTGATCAGCTTGCCGACCTGCATCATGAGCTCTAAATGTGAGTTCTCAGACGGTATAGGAAAGATTTCCGTGTCAAAGGCATAATCCTCGCGGAGGCACCGTTCCAGGTCCTCCAGCTCAGGCAGTACAAAGAGGTCATCACAGCCCCAGTGGAGGAGCAAAGCCTGCACCTTTGAATACCGCTGCGACGATTTTCCGCGATTCGGAAATGCCCGGTTTGCAGACTTTGTGGATGAAATGTCAGTATATGCCGCGGACCACATAACCCAGCACTACTACTTCATCTTTTGACTTACATTCTCCAGGGTCTGAGCAAAGCTGTCGAGGTGCTTGACGTGATAGCTCACGCGGCTGATATCATGTGTGGCGGGCCGAGGCGCATCGCCCGAGCTGGAACCGTACTGATCATGGCCGGCTTGTGAGTCTACACGTACTCTGCGCGACTGGATCGCCGAGGTCCTGGCACCTACAGTTGAGTCTGCACTGCTCACGCTGTTCCCGTCATAGGGTCGCCGGGACCGAATGGTCACGTACGGCTGGTGGTCGCCCATGTTCACCTGCTTTCAAAGCAAGTCTTGCCCAATTTACGAGCTGATATGCGGGTGTTTTGGTGGAAGTTATATGCGATTTCGTAGCCAAACAGTCAAACACGGCGCCGGAGGTCTCTTTTTTTTTTTACCGCAGCTTAGTTTATCAAGAGATGTAAATAGTGACAAGAAAAAACAAAATGTGTCAGGAGGGCCGTGGAAGCCAAAAGGTCTGTAGAAATCGAAGCGGCGTCTGATGCATCGTCAGGTACAGCAAAAAGGAGCCTCTGGGTTGTGAAAGAGGGAAAAATGAGAGACAAGATGTTGTCGGCGGTGTCTTTCGACAAGGCCCCGTTCGTCTCGGTCGACGGAAGGCGGACGGGCTGGAGGGGCATCCCACTCCGCGCCAGCTTCGGTAGCTAAAACGGCTTAGCGTGGCTGATGAGCCGGTGACCGAATGTGGCAGGGCGCGCTGGACCCGTGAAGTTGTGGGTCTGCTGTTTAGCCCCCACACGTGTCTACTTACCTAAGCCTCTACGTACTTGATATCGTGTGGCTAAGTGTGGCTAGTGCACCAGATAGTACACCGGAAGCTTGAGTGTACCTAGTCAGTGGAGGTCCCTGGATTCGGCACCGAGCGAAGTGTCCTCAGCAACGGGTCTCCAGCTCCGACATCGATGCCAACGGACCCATCCGAGCACACTGTTCACTCACTGATCACACCAACCCGTTCACGTCACCGAGGAATCCACTTTCATTGACCTTACCACCTTGCATCTCATTTACTCATCCTCTAGTAATATTCAGAACGTTTGCATTGAACTGGAGCTCAGTTACCCGAGTCTGCAGCTGTACTGCGTAGGCCATCGCCCAACATGCGTCAGCGAATCACCTTCATTCATAAGCCTAGTGACGGCGCGCCTCCGGAGTCTCTTGAGATTAGCGATGCCGGCGTAAAGGGTCCCGAGCTCTTGTCTGTCCGGGAAGATAGAATAACCTTGGCCCTTGAGGAGCTTCCCTCTGAGCTATCTCAACTTCTGAGTGAGAGTCACGAGCTACACATCAAATGGGTCAGCCCGTTCGCCTACAACACTATTGGGCCTTTGGCTTCGAGGGTATCACCAGGCTTTCATCTCTTTTATACGCCAAAGAAGGAGGACATCAAGTGGGATGCGTGAGTCTCAATCAGAGGGTATTATCAGGGCTACACCAAAAAAAGCTAACATGAAACGAAGAACAAGACTTTGCGCGGCTCTCAAGGACGCCTTTGGTGGGAGCAGTTGTACGTCGTCAGAGGTAAGCTATACATACGCACAACTCTCCTCCCGCCTTCACAGCCAACCAGAGAAGACCATCAGGACTAACTCTGTCAATCAAAGTCATTCACAACCCTCCCTAACGATAGGTTCTCTCACTCCGCGGCGCTTCAATACTACGAGCCCCTAGAGAGCCTCGCTGTCTTCAGCCAGTACACAGCCGAGAAGCTCTGCCCGGCATCAGACGCAAACTGCAAGTCCCGCGCCAAGGACCTCAAGACGGCGGCATCCTTTGACATATCCTACGACACAATCTCGCACGCCCTCAAGCTGACGGCACAGTGGCCCTACGGCAAACACCGCGTCGCCGTCGCCTCGACCCCGAACCACAGGACCGAGGTCGGCATCCTCACAACCGACTCCACCGCGAAGCCGGAGTCGCACGAGATCGGTATGGCGGGCGGCCTCACCGTCCTCGGCGAGCACAAGAAGCCCGCGCCCGTCCTCTTCAACGTGCCCGCCCGCCACCGGCTGCACTCGGACTCGGGAGACGTGGCATCGCAGCAACAACGCACGAGCTCCTTCTCAGCAACGTTCCTCGAGCCGACGGGCCTGCACCCGACGCTGCAGCTGCGCTTCGACTCGGCTGAGCCGCCGGTGGAGGACGCCTACTGCGCCGTCCACGCGCACCTCACGCTGCCGAAAACCATCTTTGCGGACCGCTACCAGCTCGCGGACGACCTGTTCCTCAAGTCCAAGAACCTGACTGCCCTGCGCTACGCCAGCGCGCCTGTTGACCTCGAGGCACCCGCATATGCCACGAAGCCGTGGGGCTCCGGTGTCCTTCTCGAGCTCACGCCGCCGACGACGACGGAAGAGGGGAAGAAGAACCAGGACTGGACGGCGGAGATCCCGCTGCACCTCCGGTATCTGGAGCCCGCTGCGGGTGGGTACACCGAGGTAGAGGTGCCCCACCCGGCCGTCTTCTGGGCGTGCTCGTCCGAAGAGGGTACAAAGTTCCCGAGCAGTCCGTTTGAGAGGGTGAATCTCGGATATGACGCGTTGTTCGGACCGAGGACGGTGTTTTGGCACGTGGAGCCGCGATCTGTTGTCGGAGGAGACGGAGGTCGGCTTACGAGCACCGTACGCGTGCCGGTTCTCGAGGCCGGGCAGGCAGAGTGGGTTCGCGCCGGGACGGCGGCTGCGGTGGTTGTCGGGTTCGCGTGGGTCCTGTGGAGGCTCGTGGTGGCGTACTCCAAGACGGGGTATGGAAGGCGTGGCGGGGCGGATGTTGGTGAGAAGAAGAAGCAGTAGAATACACACACACATCTGGAATATACCACTACCTTACGTTGCCTTCCTGCCTTACCTTACCTTGATGGGTATACAGACCTCCTCAATTCCATTCCTGTCACCAGCCAGCAGGCGCCCTCTAGGTCGGGGGTCAGGTCAAACTGGCTGGGTGGTGGAGTGGTTTGAGGTCAACAATCAATTTATACACCAACCAGCCTACTCGACGACAGGCTTAGCGAGTACCCGAGTTCGAATCCCAGCATGTGCACCAAGAGATGTAGCCCCCATTCGCCACCGGGGGGGCGAACTCTTTTTGGTTCATCGTAGGAATTGAATGTGATTAAGTAATACCATGTGAGGTAGTTGAAGACGAAATAAGGATCATTTCACATCTATTATTGTCAGGCCCCTACAGTGTGTCGCGGATTTGCACGGCCCGGCTGTGGCGGAGCCCCCCCTTGACAACCAACACCTCAGAACGCGGGCGACGCGGAAGCCTCCAACATGAAAGTCGCCTGATTATATCGACGACATCTATCACTTTTTCCACTCTTCGTTTTCAAAAAAGTAATACCCAACCATTTGCCAATTGTGTTCCCCAGACACTAATGCATCTCACCCGTACTCAACAATGATCTCCTACGTCATCGCCCTCGTGGCATTCCTCATCTTCTTCTCCGACCCCCTCGTCGACTTCTTCTCCCCGTCGTCAACATCCGGTGGCCGAAGTAGCACAAGCCGGGGCCGGGTGGCCCGCACTCCCCGGCCGCAGATGAACGAGTCTCTTCTCGCCATCGAACACCCCAACGCCACGGCCCTGTCGTGCCCGCCCGACGACTACTCTGTGCGCATCTTTTCCAAGGAGCCCTTGGTGTTGTATATCGAAGGGTTTTTGAGCGTGGAGGAGAGGAAGCATTTACTTGAGATTAGGTATGTTTTTTTCCCCCCGGCTTTCTGGACTTTCACCTTTTTACAAAAAGACACCTTCGTGTCACGTCACACACACACGCACCCAGACTTTTGGTTACAGTTGCGTAGGAGAGGAATGATGAATCCATGCTCTCTCATAAGCAACCCCACCTCACTCACCCAACTCATCTCAAACTCACCTCACTCACTCACTCACTCACTCACTCACTCACTCACTCACTCACTCACTCACTCACTCACTCACTCACTCACTCACTCACTCACTCACTCGCGCTCTCCACTAGCAACCCCATCTTCGAGCCCTCAACAATAACCCACAACGGCGCAAACACCCACCGCGACACCTCCATCCGCTCCTCCGACGTCGCCCTCCTCCCGCGCGACGACACGGTCCGCTGCATCGAGGCCCGCACCCGCGCCCTCCAGGGCTGGCGCGAGGACCTCTGGATCGAGAGGCTGCGGACGCAGCGGTACGTCGAGGGCGGGCACTACTCGTATCATTTCGACTGGACCGCCAACCGCGGCGGGTGGGGGCGGGTGAGTAGCATGATGGCGTGGGTTGACGCGCGCGGCGAGGACGGGGACGAGAATGAGGTACTACCTGGGATGGGGGACGGGGATGGGTTGGTTGGTGGCGGGACGGAATTTCCGTTATTGGAGGTTCCCGGGTTGAAGAAGGAGGTTTGGTGTAAGTTTGTGGAGTGTAGTGAGAGTGACGGGAGTGATGAGAAGAAATTGGAGGATGTCGAGCAGGGCAAGGGAACTACCTTTAAGCCTGTTCCGGGCAACGCGGTATACTGGGAGAACTTCCGGGCTGATGGGAGCGGCGCCGGGTATGACGAGACGTGGCACGCAGGACTACCGGTCAAGAAGGGCGTCAAGGTCGGGCTGAATATTTGGAGCACTGGGAGGATAGAGTGAGATGACAAGAGTCTGGGTTTTACAGCACTGTAGCTTCAAAAGATGTTCAGTTCAAAATGTAGCATTAAATGTTGCTCAGTCTGTTCTTTTGTACGACAACATGAACATCAACCTTCAGAACCCCTTCTCAAGTGATATAGCCCCCCACCCCCAACGTACGTCCATAAATGATGCAAAGATACTCAGCCACCAAAATGCTCCAGCTTGCTTCCGGAAAAAGAAGAAAGAAAAAGGGAAGGAAAATATCGAGGGAACACACAGGCGCACGTTAGCCGTATCCCTCACAGACACACAACACCTACTATGAAAGACCAAGGAAATTCGGCTCTCCCCCGCCACCGGCTGTCCAGTCAAAGTCGTCCATCAGCATCGACCAGTCGATATCCTGCAGCGGGTCACTCGTCGGCACGACACTCGCGTTCGCATCCGTCGCCGCCGCTACCACAAGGTCAGCAACACTCACACCGAACCCCCGGCCGCCCCTACACTCACGCGTCGACGCCGTGCCCCCCGCCCCGGTTCCCTGTCCAACACCACCACCTCCCCCAGCAACACCACCGGCACCGCCAACCCCGACACCAGAACCGCCCTGCCCGACCCTCGCCTGATCAAGCTCCTTCTTCCACCGCCTCAGCGTCCCAAACGCGATGACAGCGCCCGTACGGTGAGGATACTGCGAGATGGGCGCCTCGAGCTTGGGCATCATGTGCCGCAGGCTCCAATAACTCTCCGACATGCGCAGCACGCGCATCGCGAAATCGCCTTCCTGCACGGAACACCGCCGCAGGGCCTCCTGCGCGTTCTTGACCGAGACGTCGGCGTTGGCGAGCTCGACGTCCGTGGCGTGGCCTGAGACGAGAACGTCGAACACCACGGCGGCGGCGTCGAGGATGGTGCGGAAGACGTGTTGCGGGGCGTGTAAAAGAAAGCGGTGCGAGGATTCGAGGCGTAAGGAGAGGTTGATGAGGGCTTGGGCTGTGCTGTAGGCGCGGTTCACGTTGTGGCGGAAAGTGGGTTTGTCTACGGTAGAGAGAGGGATGAAGTAGTAAGATTGGAGCTCGAATTGGACCGCTAGGATGGTAAAGAGGTCGAGGTCTGTACTTATCAGTAAAGAAGGGTCATATTGTAGTTCGGAGTCGAACGGAAGAGGCAACTGGGAAGAGAAAATCAGTCTTCACGAACCAGAGTTGTGTCGAGCCTGTAGCTGTTTCAGCTTGTTCAGCTCGTCTTCCAACAGCTGGATGACGGTGTCCGGCACGCCTTCGCCCTCTTCGGCGACGGAAAAGACCGTCCGGCTCAGTCTGTTGGAGAACTTTTGCATCTCATACAGCAGGCCGAAGTACCCCAGGGCATCGGGGAGTGATTGTCCGCCGGCGGCCCTGTTGACGGCTTCGTTGAAGAAACCAGCCGGGGGCGGGAAACCATTACTTGAGGCGACTCTATGTCCTGTAGTCAGATGCCATTTGCCAAGAAACGAGTCCCAAATGTTCACAAAAGAACAAAGACATACCTCTGAGCCTGGATATTATATCCCATCCACGTAAAACACGCCTCTTCGTCGGTGATATCAGTCTGCCGATTTGGTCCTATACAAAATTCTGGATGCGTGCCGCGGCCCGTGTGCAAACCCAGCAGCAATGCAGCGTTCTGCGCGATGGCGACATACGAGGACGACGGGTCGTTGAGAAAGCGAATGGAGGGCAAGGGCCATGTGCAGAGGACGAGCAGGGCGTCAACGGTGGACATACTGATGGGCGGGTTAGAGACGGCGGCCCAGACCTCGCGGGGCAGGTTCTCGATGAGGAAGGGGAAGAGGCCTGAATCGCGGGTGTATCGCCGCGAGGAGATGGCGATGAGGGTCCAGAAGAGGATGGGGCTCTGTTTGTAGAGCTTGTCTGGGTCCTGGGAGCGGACGATGGGGAAGTACGGGTGAAAGTGCTCAAAGTAGCTTTTTCCATGGCGTCTTAGTCTTTGTTTCTTTGATATGGATATACGCTGGCTTGGGGATGATGTAGGAAGAAGGGTTGAGGTAGCTCACTGGTCAAAGTAAAAGTCGATATCCTCCCCAGACAGTACCTTGGACCCCAAAGCCCTTGGCTGGGCGGGCTGCCTCGCGGGACCCGTAGGCGTCGTATGCGATGTGAGGGTTGGCGTTGGGACCTGCTCCGGCTGGCGGGCCTGCTGAACGGGAGACAAGGCCGGCAGGCTCACCCTTGACGCGGAGGGGGGCGGCCGGTGGTCCGAAAAGGCGCTGGCGGCTCCGGGGTAGGCAGTGCTCGGGCTCGGCAGTGGCAGCGGCATGGCAGCCGGAGGGAGGATGCCAGTGGCGGAGACGGGGCTTGGGTTAACGGCATTCTTGATAGTTTGGACTTCTTTCTCGAGTTGTTCTAGTTTGCTGTTTGATGTTCACACACGCGCGGAGATATTAGGCCGTGATCTTCTGTTGGATGGACGAACACACAATAACATAGGGCACCAGGAATTGAAAGACAGACAGGGCGCAATTAGGAGCAGGGAGGAAAACAGAAGAGAGGAAAAGGGAAGCCACCTTCGTCTAGTCATCCGCTTGTGAGACTTATCAATGACACATTGTATACCGAGCTTGGAGCATCGTTGACACGGCTTGTTGGGCGTGTAGCTCGCATTGCACTTGACCTATTTCCAGTCGTCCAAAGACATTCAGTTAGCATACGATTACGGGATGTCATATTTGGTATAGCAGTGCGACGAATCCATGGAATATGCAGAAACACCGAAGGAATAGAACAAGTCTCTTCGGCATGTTTGCTGACATTGCATGATGAGCCCCAGGGGACCTGACGAGGTGGCCCCTCATCCGTCCTTCCCGAGTCCCGGATGCCAACCGCGATCCAATGGGAATAGGAACCGGGAGAGGCGTTGGAGGGGCACGGGGCATGCGTGACATGTGTGGCAGCAGAATGTTTAAAAGATTAAAACACCACGAGGTAAGGTAGCCATGCAAGGGGCATGAGGGACAGATACAAGATGAACTGGTCCAGGGTACGTATAAAAGGTATGTACGGATACAAAAAGGGAGTATCAGAGGAAAAAGTGAAAGCCCACCTTGGAATCGCGACAGCTCGTGCAGGCTGTATTGCGCCGGATCCGGTTCGGCACTGGAGGGCTGGGCGAGGTATCCCTCTGTGCCGACGCGGGGCTCTTGAGCGGCGGGTCCATCAAGTTAAGGGTAGGGTGCGCGCGTGCGTGCGTGCGCTCTGCCTCCTTGTCAGGTTTAAACGCCTCTTTGTATGTTTAAATGAGCCGATTCTGGCGCAGTTGTGGGTGCTCGCTCTGATTGTCTGGCTCACTTGCTGGCAGCTGCTGTGGTTGTGTGAGTTGTTGATGGCAGAGGTGGAGAGGAGAGAAAGAGAAACTCGGCGCGGTTTCGGCAATGCAGAAGAAAGGTGAGGTGATGAGAAATGCTGGGAGAAGGCGCGCGACCGCAACCAGAGAAAGAGGAGACGATCACGTGCGCCTACCAAGTCCATTTCTGAAGGATTCAACGGCGGTCTTATCGCGGACATTGTCCGTACCTCATTCTATCTTAAGGTAAGCACTTTTAATCTGCGATCGAGCCAACATCGAAGCAAATGCCTTTCTTTCGATTCGCCATTTGAATCATCGCGAGAAGTTCATGGTGGTTTGCGACCAAGGCGACGAGTCAGACGCTCGTCGTGTAGCACACGACTTACTCAATACACACTTACCTAGACGCCACGTCCGAACACATGCTTTAGGCTGATGCATGCCGATGTTCATTGATCATGTAGGTAAGGCCAGGGGAGTATGAGGAAAGGTCAATCTATCTATCAATCAATCAAAATATTGAGCCAATGTTCCTTACCTTGTAGCCGTGTCAAGTATGTACCAAGCTCGGTCTTACCTTGCTGAGTCACCGAGGCGCAACGACCTTCGAAAGTTTGCAGCAAGCCTGGTCGTCGGAGAAAGCCCTCGGGTTTCTCAATAAATCAGGTCGATAGCCACTTTGGTCATCTTTGTGAATTCCCAGCCTAGAAACTTGTGTGTCATGAGGAAATGCCTACGAGACGATGGCCTGCTTCGTCTATATCAATGGCTACCCGGGCGTCGGCAAACTCACCATCGCCAACGCCCTCTCCAAACTCATCTCGCGTAGCCGCGTCTTCCACAACCATCTATTGATCGACCCTGTTGCCGCAATGCTCGACCGAGACAACACAGAGGCCTACAACGATCTGAGAACCACATTCCGCAGACATGCCCTAGACTCCATCGCCACGCATCCTGCGCTTGCGAACAAGACCTTCATCTTCACAGACGCGCGCGAGTCGGGTCTTCTCGGCAGCGAAGCGGCGCAAGATTACAAGGCGGCTGCTGAGAGAAGAGGCGTGCCGTTCATCTCGGTCGTGTTACATTGTGACGTGGATGAGAATGTCAGGAGACTTGGAGGCCGGAGACGTGCCGGGCTTGATGAGGCGGCTAGTAATACCAAGTTGACCGACGGTGAGATTCTGAGAAAGATTCGAGAGGAGGAAAGCATCTTTCAGTTTGCGGACGAAAACGAAATGTGTCTAGACGTCACAAGTCTGGAGCCTGATCATTCTGCGCTCCTGATTTTACAACACGTGAGCACAGTTCACTATCGTCTTGATAAAGACAGCTGAAGGTCATGTCTCATGAACACCACCTACTTTCATCGCCAACCTAATCCAGCATTACAGTTTTCATATTCTCATCAAAGTATCTGGAAAGATCCCACAATACTCTTCATAATCATTCATGAAATGGCGTCAAAGATTGGAAATTATCATCCTCGACATCACGTCCACTTCCTCTCACAGCTTCCGATCCACATACCCCAACCCAGAACCTTGCCCTGGATAGCTCCGGCGACCTGTTCCCTGGTAGCCCGGGCCTCCAGCATCGTCCTATCCAGTGGCTCGCTTAGGGCCACAATTTGGAAGAAATCTGCCGGCGGTCAATCTCGCCGATCTATCCGAATGCAAGAGAAATCAAGACTCACATCTGTGGGTACCGTGGTTCATAAGAGGCCGCGGGGGGACATATACGCCCTCCCTCCGTCCCTTGCCCCAGTGAAACCCTCCCTTTAGCAGAGATTTGCTCTCATCCTCAATCTCAAAGTCTTTCGGGTTCACCTGTTTCTTCTCAGGAGCGATGCCACCGTATACACTACAATCACTAAGTCAGCATTTTCCTCTCTCTGAAATGCGTGTGACTCACCCGTGGCAGATGGGCGTCGGCAGGGGCGCGTCAGGATCTTCGACCACGATGAGCCATTCCTTGACCTTTGACTCGAGGTCCAGCGGCGCGGACCACGAGAGGGCGGGAATACGGCCGCCTCCTTCTGTGATATACTCCGGGCCCAAGGTAGCCGGAGACGCACCGCAGTCTGGGGAGGTGACGGTGATGGTCTGCTCCGAATGGGATGCGAAGGCGGGGGACGTATAGAACGACTTGGCGTCGTGGGCGCGGGAGTTTTTGAGGAGCCAGCTCAGGGTCACTTCGACGTACGGATTCATTCTGACGGATGTGAGGATCCTTTGATTTACAGTACAATCATGTGTATAGTTGACTGGTAGCTTCTTGTGTTGTTTTATGAAAACGTGGCTGTAGCGATGAGGTCAGATGAGATGAGACAGAAGAGGGGGGATATGAATCTCATATATCGACCGTTCTCAAGAACCATGATTAAGCTTGTTTCCGCAACCCGAAACGCTTATTACGGTATGTCCATGCTTATCTCCAGCCTAGCGGACGCGATGCCAGGCTTCAGACGGTCTTACAAGCCTCAAGCCCGGGTGGCTTAGACTTGTATGATTTCGGTGCCGGTTCGGTCATCACTCGGCCGATCAATCAGTCGTCAAGGAATTAACGTCTGGACTTAGTACAGAAATCTCCCATTCTCTCTTCTTTTCTCTCTCTTTTTCTTTTTTTATGAGACTCAACCGCATGCCGAATGACATTCAGTACTTCACCAAGTAAGAATGTGGTGAGTTACTCACAATGCAGGGAAGAGAAGTGAGACTCTGAAGAGGATCAATGCAGGGATCCTCCTCGTGTGCTTCCGGCTTGGCAGTGCTTAACGGCTTTAAGTGGTCCACCACCCCTGTAGACGGACGCCGCGCCACGTGTGGCTTGAAGTGGCCCAGGTACGGACATTTCCCGCGTGGTGGGTAAAGATCATGCGGAAAGCAACCGCAAAGGACTGTCCGTTTCAATAGCATCAACATCAACTACAACAACAATTATTTTAATTGTCGCAATCATTGGCAACGATGATTCTACAAGAAATTCACCGCAGCCTCTTGAGGAACACAAAGAGCGCTGCTTCCGGGCTATCCAGACTCTCCGCAAACATGTCATCGACACGCCCCTATTCGTCATCACGGTCATTTCCCGCGCTCTACGTCCGCGGCGGAACGTCTAACGGTCTCGTCATCCATAGACACAACCTCCCGCCAGAAAGCGAATGGCACAAAGTACTGCCTGCCGCCATGGGCTCGCCAGACCTTTATGGTCGCCAGCTCAACGGAATGGGCTCGGGCATCTCATCAACGTCCAAAATCGTCGTACTGTCTCCGCCCTCTCGCCCCGATGTTGACGTGGACTACACCTTTGTTCAAGTTGGCATCAAGGACGGCAGTCTGGACATGGCAGGCAACTGCGGAAACCTCTCCTCGGCAGTCGGACCCATGAGCCTGGACGAAGGTCTCATCTCGAACCCGCGCCTCGAACAAGGGGCCGACGGCCAGACGTTCGCTACCGTGCGCATCTTCAACACCAACACGTCAAAAGTCATCTCATCGCGCTTCAGAGTCGTCGTTGATGGGATCAACTCACCGAAATACGCATCCGAAGGTGCCTACATCATGGACGGCGTCCCCGGCACCGCCTCCCCCATCACTCTAAGCTTCCTGGACCCGGCCGGCGCCAAGACAGGCAAGGCTCTCCCCACGGGCAACGCCCGCGACTGGCTCCTTCTCCCGGACGCGAGCACAATCCAGGCCTCGCTCGTAGACGTCAGCAACCCGGGCGTCTTTGTCCGCGCCGCCGACCTGGGAATCCCCTCGCCAGAAGACCTCACGCCACAGGCCGTCGAGGCGGATGCCAAGCTCAAGGCCAAGCTGGACGGGATCCGGCGCGCAGGGGCGTCTATGATGGGACTGAACCCGGATGTGGAGAGCGTGCCCAAGATCGTGCTGCTCTTCTCCGAGACGCGCGCGGATGACGTCGATATCAGATGCCTTGCGCTGTCCATGGGCCAGGCGCACAAGGCTGTGCCGTTGACGCTTGCGCTGTGTCTCGGGGCTGCTAGTCAGTTGCCTGGCACGATACCGGCGGAGCTCATTGGTGGCCGTGCTAAGGAGTCTGTCGTTATTGGGCATCCGAGCGGTAAGGTTGATATTGGGGCCACGTTCGACAAGGGCAAGATTGTGTCGGCTAACCTTCGCCGCACGGCTCGGGTGCTGATGAAGGGCGAGGTGTTTTACTAGCAACGCGCAAGAGACTGTTGCCTCGAGTCTCCTCCGCCGATACCAAATGCAGTCGCACTATAGATCCTACGCATATCTGCCACGGCTAGGGTAGACTGTTGAACCTAGAGTGAGGGGTTCTAGGAACGCATAGTCTTACTCACAAGTAGGGTAGCATCTCGAGTGCCCTCTGGAATCAAGTAGGTCAAGATGGAAACTTCTAGCACACAATCAGCGCCCTCGTCGAGTGCTAGCTCTGACCTGCCCTGTCGAAGAGATCGTGAGCGCAATGTTCCACGAAAAGAGAACTTCATCAACGCTGGGATGCGATATTACAGCGATTGTCACCGAGATGACATACCCCCGCGGCGCTTATGAGATCTGGAGCAAGAGCAGAGCAGATTCCGCGCCCCCCGCAGGCCCTTTGCGTTTCCTCCCACCTCACTCAAGAGTGCTAAGTCTGGAAGCCAGCGCTCATCTCAAAAGCTTATAGGGGATCGTTTGGCAAGGGTCTTTGATGGCACCACAGCACTGCTTCTGGTCGTGGCTACTATCTTAGGATAAACTCAGTCTGGTAGAACTGGGCTCCGATTTGATAATGCAAAGCTACGCCCCCTTCACTACATCTGAAAAAGTCCCTTACCTACTTATAGACATGATAGATGTCAAGTAACATGTGACAGCCGTGCCTGGTACGAGGGGGCACTAAACAGCTGTAGGGACTGGATGGGCAAAGGGACATGAGAACTAGCATCGCCAGGGCACAAGCGACAGCACATTCTTCGGCCTATGTTTACTGGCATGGCCAACGATTTGCTGTTGATTATTTCCGTGCAACAAGAGCGTGCGATAGACTAAAAAAAAAAAACTGCCTTGACGCCGGCAGCACCTATCTCAGGGTACACACAAATTTCCTTTACATAACTCCATCATAGCCGAGTCTTTGAATGGATGATGAACTGGCAAAAGAACGTGCCAGTTCGGCGGGTCATCCGTGCCCGGTTCCGGAATCCACGCCATCCTCAGGAACCCCGATTCGATTTTCATTACGATGTTCCTGCCAACAGTGGGACGAGAGATGTCCAAGTTATACGGCGCTTCTGCCTCTTCAAGGGGTCGCCATGTACTTTTGCTATAAACATGGTTGTACTTTTCGTCTTTTCCTGTTTCTGGAGGGTTCTCGTGCAATGGCTCGAGCCAGGCAAAGCTTTGTGGTTCGTACTTATTCTTAACGTCATTTCTGATGTGTAGAATCATGATTGGCCTGCGGTCTTTCTCGCGATGCTTGATCTGGAGTGCATAATTTTCCCCATACGCAGGTAGTGGTGCCCATACGCCCAATTGGCCGACAGAATTCCATTTTTCTCCGGCATACGGCTTGTCTCCGGAATCTTCTGGAAACCTAGGCATAGCCCCGGACGTTTCTTTCACAGATTCATCTTTGAATGGAGGCTGAAACATTCTGGCAAAGGCGCGGCGATTCGAGTAAATGTTGGATGTGTTGGTTTGGGATTGTGAATCGTGTTTTGGGTGGTGGAATCTCGCTGGATAGGATACTTGGCCCCTATGTCATGCTGCTTATATAGGTATATTTCCTAGCTGTTTTGACGGCTTTACCTTTTGAAGCAGCATCCTGGATTGTAGGATAACCGCATGATATTGACGATGAACATGGTTGAGATGGCGCTACCTCGTATCAAAGGACCCCATAGTTGTGGAACAGCCACCGTCTCTCCTCAAGGACGCGGGTGACCACTCTCTTGTGTCTTAAGAATAAGCAGTCAGCATGTTACGAGAGATAAGATGCATTCAAAAACACAGAGCAAGAGTAGAGAATGGTTTGGGAAAAGGAGGTAGCCGCCTATGCCAAGGACAGCAAGATGAAGCATCAAACTGAAAGGCGATGATCCACACTGCATGTCTGTTGTTCCATTTCCTTAGCCGCTGAGGCGCGTTCTTATTGCCATGGGCCGGCATATCAGATCCTCTTAGAAGCGAAAATCAAGAGCTTAGCACCGTTTTCAATGAACAATCTCTTTATGATTGATTCGGCGCTACCCTCAAACAAATGACTGGAAGAAGTTTGTAATGACATTGCTTCTGAATGGGGTGTGATGGAGCGTTGTCCTAAGCCGACTCAGGAGACAGAGTTGCAGCTCGTCACCACAAACCATCTCATCTCCAAAGATGAACGTGTGTGTTCTTACATGCAACGTATTATTCAAGGAGATAACGTGGATTCAAAGCAGTCATGAAATTGAGAGTTTAGTATAGGTAGGTACTGAAAAGATGGAAAACCCGACGTGTCTCTCCCGAGGCCACATAAAAGCGAAACTTAGCGAGCACGAAGTAGCCACCGCCAATAATGGTGGCATTCCGATCATACAAGTCTAGCCTTGGCTGGCCGAACTTAGGAGACTAGTCATATCACGAGCCTCACTCTGTGCCCGCAAAAGGGGCCATGTTCTCCTCGTGATTCGGCACCTTCACGTTCTCTTAATGTGCCGGCAACTGCCGGTTCAAGGATTGTCTGTTCATGGCGGTGAACATTGAATAAGTCACACTTTTTTCTCATCAATGGATAGCAGACCTGTGTAACAGCAATTTTGCCTAAGAAACGCGGGCGACCATTGATATTCAGTATACCTCACCCAACCTTTGTTAAAGAGGTATTCGTACTGATATCGTGCACAAAGACCAAAATGTATCATGTGAAGTTATCTGACGTCTACCGCCCTCGCCAAGGATGGCTAGATGAAGCGCTAAGGTCCATAGTAAAACGCCTGTATCACACGTCCGCTGCTCTGAGTCTTGAGTAGTGGTCGATTCGCGTGTCAAATTGACTTGAGCGAAGCGTCTATGCAGAAACACTGAATTGTTGATTCCTAAACGCTATGGATAAGTCCACTGACCGGAAGCGGCCTCCATAAGAGGGGAAGCCGCCGCGGGATCGAGAAAGCTCCTCCGAGGGCTATTCACATCATCACCTGTGATATTCTCTTCGTGACTTGTTCAGTGTTTTCCTAGAAAAATTTGATAGAAAGAGGATGCTACAGGGCTGATAGTGTCAGCCATGATGGGGTCATTTGAAGCCAATGTAGGGGGGGGACTTTGTATACGGACCTTCATCTTTTCATCTGGCATATTTAGTGGCTTTCGAGGCATTCTTAAACGATCGCAAGCCACTTCGGAACATTCAACTCGTAAATAGGCTTTTTCAAGATTTCCATGGTCTAGTGTACCGTCGACACCGCTTCAGTACGAACGTCAATATTTCAGGCGGTCAGAGTGACGCGGTAGATGGTCGTAGTATAAGTTGGACGTGAATCTAAGGTAGAGCCGAACTCACAGCCCTTTTACCCTAGCCTCGCTCACAACACTTGTCTTGCTCGTCACCAAGATCCCAACCTCGGAGCCCGAAGCATCGTCCCCTCTCCCCTTGAAGTCCCTCGCCACGCTATCCTCTGACGGGTTCCCGCTAGCCACCATGACGGCCACGTTATGCCTCTTCTCTCGCAACCTATCCAGCTCCAAATCGTCGTCGTCGTCGCTGTGCGTCGAGTGCATCTGGCTAAACCTGCCCCCCCCGGCTCTGGAGAGTTTCGACCCGAGAAGCCCGGATTGGCCAATCGTCTGGAGGGTGTTCGGCTTCGCAGAGGCGGCTCCCGCTCCGCCGGATCTCGTTGTGGCACCGCGTGTGCCGCGTAGGGACCAGAAGCGGCCGACGGTGGCATCGAATATGGGTTTCAGGAGGGGACTGCTCGAGACTATGATGGCGACGCCGGGTTCGAGTGTTCCCATCAACACGACGCCGACTTGGGAGTAGGTCACGTCCGTGAAATCCATTGTCAGGACGTTCTTCAATCGTAGGGCGGCGAATATCATGGTTCTGTAAATATGCGCAGGGCTATCGTCAGCTGTTTATGTCACGGCATGACTGATTTGAGATAACTGAAGCTGGGGGAAGGGGTTTCCCTTACAGAGCGCCAGCGCCAAAGATGATGTATAAAGCCACCTTGTGCGGCCACCGCAGTTGCAGGTTATACACCATCGGTATCGGCAGCACGAGAATGATGAGGTCCGTCGCGAGGTCAAAGTAGCCCACGGCGGCAAAGGCTGCGTTCTGGTCGCCGCACTTACCGCCGGGCGTTGCCGGGTTCCAGTTCATGGCCACGGGCTGGCAGATGAAGATGCCGATGAGGATGGTGAAGAGCATCCAGCAGACGCAGAGGCCCGTGGTGATGCGCGCGGCGATCTTGAAGCCCCGCACGAAGAAGACGCGCTGGAGCATGAGGGTAATGCCGATCTTGATGAAGCCGAGGCAGATGGCGAAGAGGGTCTGGACACCGTATGCGGCCTGTTTTCTCCCCGAGAGGCGTGTTGTTAGTTGGGGTTTTCCCAAGAAGCAAAAGAGGTATAATCAGGGGTAGGATTGGGATATGTTTGTAGGCTGACCTTTGACATGCGTTCGACGTGATATGGCTGTAGGGTCAAGTAGTGATGCCCGGTTCCCCCAAGGTAAACCACTAGGACCGCCGATTAGTATCAGTCAACTCGGGAGAATTTAGTGATCCAACTTACTGACAAAATTGCAGGCTACAAGCCCATAAAAGGCGATCTACTGTGTTGTCAATACATCTGAAAGACGACTTGCAGCCACGAAGTCTCCTACTAGAGCAACAACAGTCAAGAAATCCTCAATGGTAAACGACTGTCCCTTCTTCCGCCGACTGTATAGCCTCATCCCCGTCCATAATGTTGTGGCGAACGTCAGCAGCACGTTGACGACGACAATGGGAACCGCCCGGTCGGAAAGGGGCACGATCTCGGTCTGGATGACATCCTCGGGCTGAACGGTAGCATTCGTCGGCACGGCTAGACGAGCAAAAAGCGCACTGCTGACACTCATCATGGATTTGTGTCGGGTGTCGTCTCACACAACGGGGCGGATATGGTGGCTGGAGATTCTGGTCTTCAACTACCGCAGACGTCGCACTAGACAAGACGGGGAGCCTTATGGCTTAACATATTCGTCAACCTCCTTTCCGCAGCGGCATAGCGGGTGATCCACATTCTTCAAGCGGACAGAACATATGCATGATCGAGTCAAGACACAGGTTCTGGCCGTACGAAGGGGGGGAAAAGCAAAGACCTGCCTGACAGGGGCGTCCAACAGGCCTCGTCTTGGGCACCCCCGAAACCAACCCAGGTTCTGGTCATGGCTCACCGGCCGATGGGCCATGTGGGAGGCGGGCGCACTGGGATCCCGCGTGGCAATGATGAGATATCACAAATTCATGATAACGCAAGAGGTCTACTATGTCATGGGGCGAGGGAATTCCCACATGGTGATACGATTTTGCGATATAAAGATCGAGAGGTCCCTCGGACTTCCTATGCTTGCACTTTGCATGAAGCTGGGATGTTGAAATAGGGCCCGCTCCAAAAGTGCTATGGAGCCGCGCTAGTCTGAGTGAAGAAGACAGACATGTCGAGTTATCTCAAACCAACGAGACTATGTTTGAAGAAGAATAAGGATACTAGACACTAGTTCTTTCGTCTACTGACGAAGTCGGAATATGCTTACGGCTTCCATAGAGTTGCAGTAGACCCATTGCATATCGTAAACTCAGTTTACGACGATCGACCAGCCAAGTCCCATCATCACAATAACCCTATCCGTGGACCGCGTCGTAGGGAACAGGGGATGACGAACCGCAGAACAAGTGGTCTCTGCATTCGGTAACCTGGTCCGAAAGAAACCCCACAACTCCGGATCCTTGAACATTCAACGCCACTCAATCGACTCATGAGCCCACTCAGAGGCCTCTGTCAGCTAGTCAGGAACCTAGTCAGAGGATAACGACAGAGCCTGGCCCGGAAAGGTTCCCCGTGGAGGAGGAATATTGGTGGATCCCTTCAACGGGAGGGCAATGGGGGAGGACCTCTTGATCTGTCGATGTCGCTCACCCGCCGTACCCGAGCCACTTTCTGGCCCTGGCCTTTTTGCGATGCGATATCGAAATGTCCAAGATTGCGCCGAGTTCCACATGGCAATAGTCCCGCAACGGCCGCAAAACGGAGCCTCGGAGGACGATGCTGACTGACGATGTGTGCGTGATATCCTCCCGATGCGTCTGCTCATAAAAGAAAGCGGTTGCGGCGTCTGTCCGGTTCGTGTGTGTGAGGTCTTCTCCCTTTTCCCCTATACTACGCCCGATTCTCTCTGCATTGCTTTCTGCAACGGCTTGTCACACACTCTGCAGTCCCAGCCTCCCGGTTCCAGATCTGCAGCATTAATCACACTTGCGCCAAGTTTTCCCTTTTCAGAATCTTTGCGTGAAATCTTGTTTTACGTGCCGCTGCCCTGCATACCGACACACGAACCAGGAAATCATGCTACCAACCGACGTCTGGGACTACATCGTTGTCGGCGGCGGCCTCGCCGGCTCCGTTGTTTCGAGCCGCCTGTTGGCGCTCAACAACACGGCCAAAATCCTCGTCATCGAGGCTGGGCCCAGTGCTGCTGGCCGGACGGACATTCTCTACGTCAACTCGACCAACCTGATCGCGGGCGACTTTGACTGGAACTACTACTCCACGCCGCAGTCTCAGCTCAACAACCGCACCATTCAGAGCGCTGCCGGGAAGGGTCTCGGCGGCGGCTCCCTCATCAACACATGTAAGTCATCCCTCCATGGTGGAAATGGGCGTCCAAAAAATGTTGACTCCATTGCTCAGGTGGATGGATGCGTGGTGCCCGCATCGACTACGACGAGTGGGCCGAACTGGCCAACGACTCCCGCTGGAGCTACGACAGCCAGCTGCCGTTCTTTAAGCGTTCCGAGGCGTACTGGACCGACGTCAACGCCGACGAGCACGGGTACGACGGACCCCTCAAGGTCGAGGTGCCCTCGGCCACGGGCCGCGTCTACCCCCTGAGAGACGCCGTCTACGCCTCGTACGAGTCCGTCGGCGTCAAGGCACTCCCGGGTCTGGACGCCAACGCCGGCCAGAACCTCGGGTTTGGCGAGATCGCAGAGAACCGCCGCAACGGCGTCCGCCAGATCGCGTCAGAGTACTACCCCCTCGACGGCGTCACGGTCGTGACGGATACGCTCGTCGAGAAGATCCTCCTTCGCAGCGACAACAGCTCTAGCGCCAGTGCCGGTGCTCTTGTGGCAACTGGCGTCCGCCTCGCCAACGGCACGGAGATCCTCGGCAAGGAGATCATCGCCGCCGCCGGCGCCTACCGCACGCCGCAGCTCTTATTGCTATCCGGCATCGGCCCATCCGACGAGCTCGCCAAGCACGGCATCGAAACCAAACTCGACGCGCCCGAAGTCGGCAAGAACTTTGCCGACCACGCCTTCTTCACCTACAACTGGCGCCTCTCCCCACAGTACCGCAACGCAACCGTCGACTCGGGCAACACTCTCTTCTTCCAGCCGCAATACGGCCTCGGCCAGCCCAACAATTTCGTCGCCTCCTTTGGCGTGGAAGACCAGGACGGCCTCGTCGCCGCCATCACAAAGGAAGAGGGCGTCGCGCCCGACCCGGCGACGCACCCGCTCCTCAAGAGCGAGCGCACCCTCATGGAGGGGTTCGTACTCTACGTCAACACGAACCCGGCGCTCCCTTCCAACAGCACCTACCTCACGACCGCCAACGTCGGTCTGCACCCTACAAGCCGCGGCTCCGTGACGCTCGCCTCCGCGGACCCGAGTGAGGCCCCGCTCATCGACCCCAACTTCTTCGCTTCCGAGGTCGATCGGTTCGTGTGGCGCGATTCGATCCGCCGGATGACGCGTATGATGATTGGCGGCGAGTCGCCTCTGAGCCAGGGGATCGTCGAGGCCGAGGCGCCGGCGGAGGGTTTGAAGCCGTTTACGCTTGAGTCGACGGACGAGGAGATTGAGGAGCGTATTCGTGCTTCCGTCATGTAAGTTTTGGATCCACTGTCCCTTTTATGCTATGCTGCGCATTTCAGCTGACACGCGCTTTTTCTTTTCAAAAGCGGCACGTACCATCCCATGGGCACATGCGCCATGGGCAAAGTTGTCGACAGCGATTTGCGCGTCAAAGGTGTCAGCAACCTCCGTGTTGTGGACGCTTCCGTGTTCCCGACCATCATCACGGCTCACATCCAGGCCGCGGTGTACGCCCTCGCCGAGCAGGCTGCCGAGATCATTGCTTTGTCGTAAGTTGAAGGACTCTCGTTTCTGACGTTGACGACATTATGCATGAAAATAAGAGAGGAGGCTCTATGAGTGGATGTACGGATACATACTAGTAGATAATGCTTAATTAATGACGATGTGAGGCACTTGTGCCGCTAACGCCGTGCCGTACCGTCGGCCCCACTTTCGGCCCGGGGCTGATTTACTCCCCGCATAGTGAGTGGGCTATCTAATCTGTCTAACCGTAGCTATGTCCGAGCCTGAACCTCCGATTGGAAACCAGTCTTCGAGTGAGAATAATGGACTACAATTCAGGCAGCAGCGGCAGAATGAAATTTTGATCAAAAGGCGAGACCAGCGCGGTGTCTTACATGAAAGTAAGGTACCTCAGGTAGGCAGGTCGAATTCTCCAGTGCCCTCTTTCCGCCGCCCCGCATTCACCCCTGAGACCATCGACCATCGACCATCGGCCTGTGGTGTTCTAGCTGCCTAAGTCTCAGCTATTTCATCACATGTTGGGGACGCTCATCACCTTACTCGCAACATAAAGACATCAACTTCGGCTCCCGATCGTCATTTGAAAGAGCAGGGGAAGAGAAGTAAGGAGAGACGCAATTGCTCCAGCTCAATCCGCCAGTAAGCATCAAGCTCAACTCACCAGAAAACCACCAACGCTCAACCACCTCACAACCACATCATCTTGTACCCAACATTCAAACCACCACTTCAACCATCACCACATCTTTTACCAACCACGAATACACCTAAAAACGAAAATGGCCTCAACAGCCCCCCCTCGCCTCTACTTCGCCTACGGCTCCAACCTCTCCCCAACCCAAATGTCCCTCCGCTGCCCCGCCTCCACGCCCCTCGGCCTAGCCCACCTCCCAGACCACACCTTCATCATAAACACCCGCCGCTACGCCAACGTCGTCCCCAATGGCCCCGTCAACCCCGCGGACCCCGCCGCCGCCGCCACAACCACGAATCCGGTCTCGTGCCCGGCCTCAGCTCTCGCCGCCCCCGCTCCATCCTCGCCCCCATCCCCGGCCACGGCTCAAGGCGTCTACGGCGTCCTCTACGCCCTCCCACCCCAAGACGAAGCCACCCTCGACAGATGCGAAGGCGTGCCCCACGCCTACCAAAAACAACATCTCACCGTCAGCATCGTGAATCTCACCTCTGACGGCACCGCCATCAACCTCATCGCGGGCAGCAACGTGCCGGCACTAGTGTACGTCGACACCGCGAGGACCGAACCCTCGACGACGCCGTGGGCCGAGTACATTGACCGGATGAACCGCGGCGTCGACGAGGCGACGGAGAGGTTTAGGTTGCCGCGGGGGTATGTTGATGAGGCCATCCGGGGTTATATCCCGGCTGCTGCTTCCGAGAACGAAAAAGACGAGGCTGGTGTGCGGGAAGGGAAGAAGACCATCAAGGACCCGTTTCTTGAAATTTCTTGAGTATTACCTTTTGTGCATTCATTACGCCCTCGGATTGGCCCCCCCCCCCCCGAGGAACACTAGACAGAGAGCCAAAAGCTCAACGATCCGAATCTCACAAAGTCGGCAAACACACGCCCAAACCATTTCGATCCCCCTCAAAGATACGCAGATCCTACCCATCGTCATTACCAAACCCAAACACCCGGATCGTGGAGGCCGCCTCTTTTCCTTCCTACCATTCTCGTCATACATCAACACCTTAGAAAGGGGCAAGCGTAAGAGAATGAAAGAAAAAAAAGAAGCCAACCGCATGATTTCGTCGCAAAAATCCCCCAGGAAACACTTCAAAACCTCTTGGCACCAGCAAGAAACGCCTTGGCAAAAGCCCAACTAGGAACGGGTTGCTTGCCCCCCTTTCCAACCTTCTCTCCAAGAAGCGTGTGAACACTACTGGATTGTCCCCTTTTTTTACCCTTCAGGGGCCAGGCCAGGAGGTTGCGTACAGGCCTACAGCAGCAGTTGGAAACCGGACAGTCGGTATTCCGTGGTGAGAAAGTACTTCTTTTTTTAGAACCCAAATGAGACACACAGAGAAAAGAAAGAGAGACATATCAGATGAAGAGGAATGGAGCACGTGGTGGGTGCACAGTCCAGGGAACGAACTCGATTGGTGCGACTGGGTAGAGAGGCTGAACTGCACCAATACAGACGGGACCACGGCTGGAGATTAGGCTCATTGGATGTGATGAAGAAGTCAGTCAATACTATCATTGATGAGGTTTCTGGCTCTAGGTATCTCTTTGTAGTTCATGGCTCTACTCAACAGCTTCAGGCTGTTTATTGAATTCTCGACCGTCTCCTTCGTATCCTACTCCTCTCTTCCTCTCTCAACCTCCTCCAAAAGGAATGAGTGCTGTCTTGTGAATGCACATCCAAAACAAAACGCCTTGCTCGATGCAGATACATCAGCCATAATTCTTAAAAATCTTGTGTAAAACAGAAGGAACCCAAGAACGCCCTCGCAATGCAGTGCTATGAAGCCAGAAAGAAAATCGACCGTTTGAAACATTAAGCTCCACCAAAACCCATTCTAACAGAATGCAGTATGTTTGTTGTTTTGTGGTTTAGAAAAGATAGAGCGAGAACCCAGTCGCAAAGGCAACGAATCCCGCAAAGATGGAAGCCGCCAGTGGCGCCAACGACGGTGCGGCATTCTTTCCTCCGCGGACGATGCCGTCCGTAGCGGACACAGGGCTCGCGACGGCGACGGCAGACGGTACGGCGCTGCCGCCCTTGCCAATCTCGAGAACGTTTGTGCTCGTGGCGTTGAACTTGGTCTGCGCCAAAGAGACCTCGTTGTTGTCAATGTCGTAGACCACGTAGGCCGAGCGCAGGAACGTGTCGCCGAGGACGTTTGTGCCGTCGCCGGCGGGCGCGATGCCAAAGAGGCAGGCCTCGACGCCGTTGGAGAAGGACGTACGCTTGCCGGTGATGGCGACGAGGTCGAGCACAAGCTCGTCGATGGGGACCGTGATGGGCTGGCCCGAGAAGGTGAAGGTCATGTTGGAGCCCGAGTTGGCCGTGGAGCAGGGGATGAAGGCGACGCCCTCTTCTTGCTGGTAGACGGCCCCCACCATGGAGTAGATTGTCGTGGTCATGTCGTCGGGGAGGTACGTGAGACTGGAACCCGAGTCGAGGAGGACGGCCAGGGCCATGTTTTCGTCCAACGTCTTTGAGCCGAGCGTCACTTTTGTCAGGGTGATGAGGAACTCGGCGTAGCTGCCAGACTCCTTCTGGATGGGTACGGTCTTGAGCTCGCCCTCGAAACGCTCGGTGTCGACTCCGCCGAAAAGAATGTTTCCCTGGCTCGCGTCCAGATCGTTCAGCCACAAGCTGAAGGCGCTAGATTGGATGAGTCCCTGCGAGACCATCTTGGCGGGCAGGTTGTCGTAGGAAGCCAAACCGGCACGCCCAACCTGCACTTCGTTGACCTTGTATCCGACTCCTAGGATGCCTTGCGCCGATGAACTCGTGTAGCCGACACCGAACTGGAAGTCGGTCAAGGTAGATCCGCCGATGGTGAATTTATCCGTCACGTAATCTCCAGTCGCTCCCGAGCCGTCGACATAACTAATGTTGAACCAGCTTCCGACGTAATTGTAGGTGGACGAATCGTTGGCCGAGTAGGTGCCGGATACGGAGCATGGCGTGCCTTGACCTTTGCAGAGAGCCGAACTTGCTGTGTTAACCCAGAGATCACTACTTCCGGTGTCAAGGTGAAGTCGCATAGGCTGTGCTGGTGTTCCAAGAGAGCCGTTGACAAAATACAAAGTTTCCTTCGAAGTGTTAGAAATAGTACCGAAAAGACTTTGGTTATAGACCTACCAAGTTGTCCAAAGTCGCTTGCACCGAACCTCTCTTTCTCAACATGTCCCTCTTGTTGCGTGTGTACGGTATCGTCGCGCGGTGCAGATCCAACCCAACTACCCTTGGTGCGCTGCTCTCGCTCTTCCTGAGCACAAGTCCTTCCGTGGGTAGTAGTGAAGCCGCGAGGGCAATTAATGTTGTTGACCTCATCTTGAGTCTGTGTATGTGTGTATGTATAGCGAGTTGTACGGCTTTGAATTAGATCGATATCCAAGCTTCGAGTGACGACCGACCGCCAAGACAAGGTTGCCGGAAGGATGTAGATATAAGAGAATGGCGTCGTGCTATGAAGTCATTGATGGCGCAACACGGACGGTAGAGAGGAAACTAGAAGGATGAGAAAAAAGTAGTCGGTTGCGAAATTCCGGAGTTCGGTGAAGGCGACTACTCGCGGGGGGAGTGGGCTCGGTATACGGCACGGTGGGGAGAGGATTCGTCACCCGTGATGGTGGCGGAGCTTGCGTTGCTGATGAAGACGAGTTGGGGGCGGCGGCAGTGGTGAGCTGGCACCGGACCACCAAACCAGACTAGAGAGACGGGAAGGCGAAAGCAAAGGCCTTCTCTCTCTTTCTTTTTTTCTTTTTTGCTTTCGGCGCACCGCGTAGACGTAGTGAGTGGGAAAATCCGGCGATCCGGAGGATTTAAGAAAGTGAAAGTAGACTCGGAGTGTCTAGTGGTTACCAACTCGTGTAGGTAGCGGTCTTGGATGAGTAAGTTGCAGAATAGAGCAAAGCACGAGCAGAATAGTCCAATGCAATGGAAGCACAGAGGAAGCCAAAAGAGCAGAGCAGAGCCAAAAAGTGCGGTTGGACGAGAAAAGCAGGCCAAAAGATGAGATGCAAGTCTTTCTTTGTACCAAAAGTCAAAATTCTGGTCCCCCTCTGTTCTTGGAATAGAAACAGCAACAGCGCGGACCATGGGCAAGGCGGGAACTGACACTGCCAAGCGCCACAGTCTCGTCCAAAAGGTCTCACCCAGTCGCAGACTTGACTTCGTCGTCATGCTCGGCGGGGCACTGGACGGGTTGACGGGGGGGTTGCGGACAGGGTCCGGGGTTGAGCGTGTTTGGACGAGGCCGGGAGTAGCGAGTTGCTCCTCAAGGAGTCAAGAGAGACAGACTTGCAGCGTACTCCGTAGAAAGAGACCACTTGGTCACGCTTACAGCGGAAGGCTTAGAAGGGTGAGAAGGAAGGGATGTCAACGGACGGAGCAGCGAATTGGTGCAAGATGGTTGGACAAGAAAGGGGAAGGCCGAACGGTCTCCAGACTTCCCAGCCCGGGACGACCCCGGGTCAAACCTTCTCAACGACAGGGTTGGGGGTTACTGGAATCACAGGTATCACAAGTATCATAGACTCTCTCTCTCACCACTGCCACTGGTAACAGGAAGGGAAGGCAAGGGAAAGGGAAGCTAGCGAGTGGTGAGAGCCATGTCAGGCGGAGTCGAAAAAGACGCGTGGCCGTGCTTGCAGCTTGCCCTTCTAAGCATCCCGTCCCCTTTATTCTGCGGTGCTCTGCCCTTTTTTCTGCAGTTTGCGTGGGCCGGTAGCCGTAGGTCCGTAGCCTGTAAGGAAAGACAACCCAGCCAGCCCCCCCCCCTTGCTCCCACATTCCCTCTCTTTCTTACGGAGTACAGTCTACAGGTACAGAGTTACACCTGCATTCTGAGTAGTCGGAGAAGGAAGAGCGCACAACAGCCGTGTGAGTGTCTCCTGCACCGCGGCTGCGCAAAAGAAGAGGGCGGTGCGGGTTGCGGGTTGCGGTCGTGCGGTTGCGTTGCGTTGCGTTGCAGCAGCTGGGCAGGGGGGGAAATGGCTGCATGTGAAACGCGAGCATCAATGTAACCCCCGACCAACAGCGAACCCTTTTCTGTCTCAGCTAGCGGAATATCAGACACGTTGGAACCAACATCGATCGCTACGGACTCACGGAGTACCTCTCTACGGATACCTCCTAGGCTTCTCACGACGCTCTGGTCAGCCAGGCGCCCTCGCTGCCACACCAATCTACGAATATGACTTGGGACTCGAGGCCAGCCGAGGAGGTGTTGTTTGTCTCGTTTCCAGATAAAATCAGACGTCCTCTCGGTCCGAGCCAGCATGGGGTAAGACGACGAACGCAGCAAGACACAAAAAAGAACTGTAACCTCTAAAATTGGTGATACTCGACACTCGACGCCTACACCTCCTTCACACCTTTACCCTTCACCCGGGTCTCACGATACAGAAAGAAGGGCTAGCACCGGCAACACGGTGCCGCCAGAGCCGCATCACTGATCAGTCCTTCAGAAAAGACTCCTGCTTGCGTCTCTTGACGTCGGAGATCGTAACATCACCAGCGCATGTTCGCTCATGGATTGCGCAACGCGCAACGCGGTGAGGAATCATCTGCTTCACAAAGTTCGCTTTAGCTGGCCGACAGACCCGATCGCGTGAATGCGTCCATCGCCACTCCGGGAATCCGGAAGAGCCCGTCCATCGAGCCTTGCCTTGCCTTGCCTTGCCTTAGGGTCAAATCGTCAATCGTCTAGACAGACTTCCATGACGGGGAAATAGGGCAATGGCGGGAACGGGAATTCAAAGGGAAAGAAA